CAGGACCACCCTGGAAAAGAAGTGTGAGACTCTAACCTGAAAAAGACCTATAGCCTAAAAGCCTGGGGATGTGGCTAAAACGGTACAGGGCCTGTCTAGATATCACAGGGTCCTGAGTTCAAACCCAAGAACCACCAAGAGAAAAGGAAAAGCCTTCTATTTCCTATTTCATGATGCAACTAAAATCATACTTGCATTTTTGGAGCTCCTTTTACTATTTTCTTATGGCCATTTGAATATATATATGCTGTCCAGCTGCATCCCACATTTGAAAGCACTATTTATTTTTTCCTGCCTTTCCTCAGAAGTTCAAGCATTAATCTTGCCTCAGAGTATTACTCTGTGGTGTGAACAAGCTCAGAATTGGTCTTCAGTGACCAGGGTAGACCCAGCAGTTAAGAGAGAACATGGGATTCCTTTACATGATCCCATGGTACTGGCCACTTCTGAGAGATTCCCAAAAACATTTCTATAAAAAGATCGTGAATATGCAACATTAATAAATATCCTTAACATAGATGCAGTCCATGTAACACATCAAAAAATTAGCAGGCATTCAAAGATCTACAACATTCTATTTGCAGATATGTGGTCAAGATAGTATCTCAAATGTACTTATTTCTATTTGCCATGCTATTAATATTACTTGTATTTCCTTGATCACTTGAAATATTGGACAATAATTTTCCGCTAACTTTGTTTATATACGTCTGTGTGTCTGTGCGTCTGTGTGTGTGTGTGTGTGTGTGTGTGTGTGTGTGTGTGTGTGTGTGTGTGTGTGTGTGTGTGTGAGTGTGTGTCTACCAGTACTGAAGATTGAACTCAGGACTTGAGCACTGTTCCTTAACTTTTTCACTCAAGACCAACACTCTACCGCTTGAGCCATATTTCCATTTCTGATCTTTGCTGGAGATAAGAGTCACACAGTCTACCTTTGTCTAACTTTGAACTGCGATCCTCAGATCTCAGCCTCCACAGTAGCTCGGATTACAGGCATGAGCCACTAGCACCCAAAGACAAATTTTAGTAGCTACAGTTTTGTCCTATATTTGTATGATTTTGCTTCTGTGTAATTAAGAACGTTATTATTATGACTATCATCATCATTGTTATTAGTCTCTGGTTCTGAAACATTTTTATTAGAATAAAGTCACAGTGGACGTGGGTAGGCTTATTTTTCCACAGTGATGTTGACACCAACCATTTATCCCTTTTTACCCACATATATAAAAGGGTAGTGGTTATGCTCACTTAAAAACTACTGATTCGTCATAATTATTTTTAAGATGGACAGATGAAGTACAAATTAAACTCTTGATCTTGTAAGTAAGGGGAATTAAATTACCCTTTACAATTTCAACCAGAAAATCAATTCTAGTATATTAAAGTTAGAGATTTCCAGTCACCCACGGAACCACGGGGCTCTCGGAGGAGAATGAGACTCGATGCTGACATGTTTATTAGTATGTGAAGAAGCCATTTCCAAGAGACAGGCTCCTTGTCCACAGGACATGGGCTGCCACAATCTATGAGCAGAGAAGCCTGGCTTCCTGTTGAGAGTGTAATTATGAGGTAGGTGGGACTTCACTGTAGGAGAGAAAGGAGGTACGGCATTTCTCTGGGCTACTGAAGAAAGCCCTCAGCTTTCTGTAGCATGAAGAGCTCATCATAGATCATCTGCATTGTGGTTCCAAAGAACAGCGTTCACTATGGCCATAAGTTAAAGACACAGAAAGCAAGCATGCAAAGTTAACTCCAGCTGAAATTAAAAACTAGGAAAGAGAAATCCAAAGACTTACAAAGAAGCCCCATACCCCCCAAGGGTGAGCAGGGAATCAGGAATAACCAATTCGTTAGCAAGCTGTGTGGTGCTTTACATGCCAAGCAGGTCCCGACACACCTGCTCTAGCCTACACCCCGTTCTCTCTCACATACAGGCTAAAGTTGCCCTCCTTCCCTGCCCTCCCCCTTCCTCTAGGTCTTTCACACCATCAAGTGAGAACCTGGGAAATGTAACCTAGTTAGTACCAGATCCCTGATTCCTGCGCATAAAGGCCACATTCCACATCTGGGCCTCCAACGTGAGGTCCATAAAGGCCACATTCCACATCTGGGCCTCCAACGTGAGGTCCGTAACTCAGCTTCTTTCCCTGCATACGCTCTATCACACTCTTTCTTCTCTGCAGCCACATTGGCTTCCCCTTTGTTCCTGAACACCTACAATGTCTTCCCTCCACCTTGAGGATGACCCTACCACCTGGGATTCTCTTCTGGAGGGGTTGAAAGCATTCTTCTCTCTCCTAACGACTCTGGCCTCTGCTCAGATGTTAGGGTTTCAGAAAGTGGCTTCTTCCACCCTTTTTGAAATCTAAGCACACCTATCCTCATGGCATGATTTTGTGTCTCTGCATTTTACTTGATAGCTTTCATCCCTATCTGAATACACACACATACACACACACCCACATACACACACACACACACACACACGTGTGCATGTACACTATTTTAGTGTCAATTCTCATTTCTTTCGCTGAAATACAATCTTGGGAAAGCAGCGAAGTTTGGGGTTACAGTATAACCCCATCATTAAATTAGCTCTAATTACTACTAACTCTTTTTTAAACTAGTCTCTCATCCACAGTGCTGTAATTCGGTATAATTTTTAAAGATTATAATGTGTCTGTCGTGGAGTCTGGAGGGAAAGATTTCTCTACAAACTTAGAAAAAAATCTGATGTATTCCATAATATGTTGTCAGTTGATAAACCAGTACTTTGTTTTGTAAGCACTTGTGTATTAGCTTGATCCAAGCCCTTTCCTAGCAGAGTGGGAAAGATGAGAGCAAGTCCATTAGTCTTTAAGGAAGACGGCAAGTCTTTTGTCATGAGCCTTTCCCCCAAAATCACTCCCATTCACTACCTCATTCAAATATCACTACCTGGTTCAGTTGACTCACAGTTTCTTGAAAGTAGGAATGAAGAAATGGCACAACCCGATGTTTAAGTATAGTCCATATAAGTTGCTCCCCTGCCTTTCCTTTCAAATGTTCACTGCTCTTGACTTCAACCACAATCCAGAGTGCCATTCCAAAACCCCGTATGGAGATGTTAAAGGCCCCATTAATTGTCTCAGTGAAGGGGAAATCTCTCCGATCCTTATTCAGATTAGCAGCCATGACTTTTAGCAAAAAAAAAAAAAAGACTCTAACGCAATTTTCTGATGTCATACTGAACTTCATTACATCCAATTCGAAATCAGATTAAGGCCAGGATCCCTACCAGACCCAATACAGAGATTCTGAGTCTATGGAGTCAAAATTCACACCAAGGATAAAAGGTCATCTACAGGCAAATGGCTGCATATTTCACTGAAAAATTCGAGGACAATTTCAGCTCTCTCAATTTCCTAGAATAGTAAAGGCTATTTCCAAGACACTGGCAGATTTTAAATTGCCATACTTTTCGTTGTGGCCCCCTTTTTTTTCTCCCCTCCCTTTTTTGTGAATCGGAGAAATATCTATGACAATTTCCTGACCCAGCTGCTAGCCTGGTATTAAAAGAAAAGCTATATATTTCTTCTCAAGTATTCTTTATTATTTCTATGCCCTTAAATAAGCCTGTGGAGTAGCCAGACCATCACGATTAGATTGTCTCTCACAGTGCCTTATTCATTAAATACCTTTGGAGTAAAAGAAAGAATAAATCATAAAAGTAATAAGTAACAAAATATATTAGGAGTCCTGAATATGGCGTTGTCAACTATGTTATAAACAAGCTTCATTTCCAGCAGTAAGAGAGCTAATAAGACTAGGTTGTCGGGCAACAGAAGGTATAATCAGGAGCTGACACATTCTGGTCTATATATAGCTCCTGAAAATATTGAAAATATGATTTCTGATGGTTCCTCATTTATCCTGTTTTATAGTGTTTTGAGGCCTCTATTTACATTAAAATGCATCTATTAGCAGTGATCAAATGGGAGATGGTTCTTTGAACTGCATGGTTCATAGGTTCTATGAAGTAATTAGCAAAGACACTAAGGAAAACAAATCCATTGTGGGGGACAGAAGGGGAAGAAAATTTCCCCCATCACTATAAATGACAACTAAACAGGTTCAGAAAACAAAGCAACACCTGGCTATTGATCTCTGGCAGGTTCTCAGAAGAGGGGAAGGAAATGAGGTGGAGCTAGTAGCAGTGGTGAGAGGGGGCTTGGTACTCTGCTCCTATTTTTCTTTCCTGTTAGTAGCATGCTTTAGGTGCTGCACGGGACAGGCATGCGCACCACTAACACTGGATCACAAGGAAGGCTCTTTGATTCTGGGACAGGAGCTCAATTCTGGCTATTGACAAAATCATACCAAAACCATTAGCAAACAAACCAGACTCTGTCATATGAAGCAGGTAGGTATGTGGACTCAGGAATTCCAATCTTATTTGCTGGGTGGATTTTTTTATTAGTATCATTTTATTAGCTTTAAGTAGTTGTCCAAGGGAGATTTTTCTTTGTTTTGTTTTTGTGTTTTTGCTGGTCCTGGGGCTTGAACTCAGGGCCTGAGCACTGTCCCTGAGCCTCTCAGTGCACAAGGCTAGCACTCTACCACCTGAGCCACAGCGCCACCTCTGGCTTTTACCGTGTATGTGGCACTGAGGCATCGAACCCAGGGCCGCATGCATGCTAGACGAGCACTCGACCACTGAGCCACCTTCCCAGCCCCCAAAGGAGCTGGCTTGTGTTTAGCTCCACACGTGTCCGTTTATGAGCACAAAGCATCTTGATCAGCATCACCCCTTTCATCATCCTCCCCCGCCTCTTCCAACCCCACTCATCCCCCCGTCTTCCCAGTTCCACAGCCACCCAGTCAGTTCTTCCGAGCCTCCGCTGCCCCGTCTGAGCCAGGGCACGCTGGCTGCTGCTTGCTGTCCACTCTATTGGGGGCCTATCTCTGCATGGCCCCTGGCACAAGCAGGTGGAGGATGGCTCCCTGGGAGGACTTACCCACGAAGAGCTGGCTGTTGAGCTGCAGGAGAGCGTGGCCATCGGCCGGGGCCGGTTGTGTCTTGGGCAAGAGCTGGTCCACCTCGAGGGACGCCTCCTTCATGTTCCTGCCGACCCGGACGTGGTGCCACTGGTTGTCATTGAAGCGGGTGGGCGACTGCACCGAGATCTCGAAGGGCCCGTTGCCCACGTCGAAGGAAAAGGTTACCGTGGTCGGAGCTGCAGATAAGCAGATGTGAAGATTGTTCCAGTGGCTACATGGGAAGAACCACCATCAAACAGAGAGACAGTGCTATCCTAGGAGTCAACGGCAACCTGGGAGAAATGGAAGTTCTGATGGAGACTGGAACAGTAAGACAGATTAATGTCTGGGAGGAGAGGAGGAGGAAATATGGTTTAAGAACTTTGTCTCCTGAGCACTGGGGGCTCATGCCTATAATCACACATACTCAGGAGGCTGAGACCTGAGGACCACAGTTGGAGGCCAACTCAGGCAGGAAAGTCCATGAGACTCTTCAATTCATCTCCAAAAGGGAGCTGTGGCTAAGGTAGAGCACTAGTTTTGATCCCAAAGTTCAGAACAGTGCCTAGGCCCAGAGTTCAGGCTCCAGGACTGACAGGAAAAAAAATCTGAGTTAATTAATAATGAATTAATAATAATAATAATGATTAATAAGTTTATTATTAAAACAATACTACTTAAGCCAAGGCACAAAAACTAAATAGACCACCAGGGATGTGACGTAAAAATACTTGATTCTGTGTCTTAAGATTCATATGTTTTTCTAGGCATGCAAGATGCATCTGTAATTTTGTAGTCATCTGAAAAATTGAGTTTTTACATTTTTAATTACTTGAATTTCAACTCTTCACTTGTTACTACAGAATATCCATAATTTTCCCAACTGATCTGGTGTTGAAAAATCACGTCATTTTTCTCCCACAAAAGATGTCGTTATGCAGAATTCCTTCAAGGGGATTCAATGAAAATATTTAGCTGATAAAGTAGGAAGGTGAGTTCCTTAAAAATTAGTCAAAGGATTTCCTATGGAATGGTAGTCTCTCATAGACGTCTGTGGGGAGGGAACTTACAGCGTAGCTCTATCCGTATAAAATCAGTAATTCCCAGGTTCTCTAAAAAGACTCCAGATAGGGCTGTTGTCTTAAAAAAGAAAGATACATCAGCACTAATCTCTCCCTGGAAAGTTGGAAAATGAAGGTACGAAGCCTCAGTATTGAAGGACGCTGAATTCCAGAAGGATCCTGTTTGAGAGAGAGAGAGAGAGGAAAAGAAAAAGGTGAAGAACAAATTCACAACCGACCATGAATGATGTACAGTAATAATACTTTTTCTACTTAGCTGTTTTTTTTCTATGTAGAACATTGTTTAGTCACGCAAAAGTGCTTTAGATTTTACTATGAACTGTGCAGAATACAAGGCTTGCATACAGGAAGAGAAATTTCACAGAAATTACAACCCTGAATTATTTTCAACCCAGGACAAGAATTATCACTGCAGAAATGATCGCAATAGAAGGAAACGCAGTCCCACTTGAAATACCAAGCTCCTCCAAAGTCATATTTTTAAGAACATGCCGAGCTGTAATAGGTTAATTCTTTTATAATTTGAAAATGTAAACACCCACTTGCTTTGACTAACTAAACCCTTAAAGAAGCTCACACTGTTTTTTTGTTCTAACACACACACACATAAGATGGGCCTTCAGATTTCTTTTTAAACCAAGATTACATTCTAAATATCCTCATCTAATTACAGAGCAAGACCGACTTCCTCTGTGTGGCGCTGCTATTCCCTGGCAAATGCTCTCCTCGTTCAAAGTCATCCGTCACTTTGTGGGTAAGAATCATGTAAATGGATGGCTCACACCCGTAATCCCAACTATTCAGGAGGCTGACATCTGAGGATCTAGGTTCAAAGCCAGACCAGACAGAAAAGTCTGGGAGACGCTTATCTCCAATCAACCAGCAAAAAAATGGAAGTAGAGGTGTTGCTCAAGTGGTAGGGCACCATCATTGAGCGAGGTCCTGAGTTCAAGGCACAGTACCAGCATACATACATGTCTACACACAGACACACACACACACACAACACATACACACACAGACACACACACACAGAGAGCGAAGTAAACGAAAAAATATTCTCAAAAAGTCTCAACAACAACAAATCTGCAAAGAATTATGTTGACCTTAAAGCTAATTATAGTTACTGTCCAAATACAACCTTTGTCTTGTTTTGCTTGGCACTGGGGGTTGAGCTCAGTGTCTCAGGCTTACTAATCATTCACGCTCTCTCCCATTTGATCCACCCTTAGTTCTTTGTGCTAATATAGACAGGATCTCCTTTTTGTCCAGGTTGATCGGAACCATGCTCCTCCTATTTATGCTTCCTCTTAGATTTGGGAGGACAGGCACACACTGCCACAGCCCAGCTTTGTTTTAAAGTTGGGATGGCACCTTATGAATCTTTTCTCTTTCATTTTCTTTCCCTTCTCTCTTTTTGGCCCAGCTGGCCTCAACTATGACACCCCCAATATTAGCTGTCCATGAGCCACTGGGTCTGGCTCAAGTACAACCTTTTATTTTCACTTTTTTTCAGACTGTTTTTGTCGATATCTGCAACTTTCCTTTGGGGAAAAAAATATATTATGGGTGCTATATATAGGAGAAAATATGGAATTATAAATGCAGTGGCAGTTGCTGACAGGAATGAAGTACAGCTGGAAAGATGTAGTTGGTAGGGAGAATTATTAGAGAAATGAGCTGTGCATTGTGGCTGTCAACAGCAAATTCTGGGCACATCAACTAGTAATGCCATTTTTAGGTTTAAGCAACTGCCTCTGCTCACACCCAACCCTGATTAAATTCTGTGTTGAAATCATCTCCCCAGCAGATGAACTGATCCTCTGGAGTCCAAAGCCACAATTTCAGAACAACAGTTTGTTCTATCAGCCAAAAGCAGATACCGAGCTAGACAAAAATTACAAACTTGAGTCTGATTCTACACGTCCCCTAGATTATATTATTCTGCTAAAATCTAAATCAGACCACTTATTATCTATTTATTTACTCTATTTTTTCTTGCAGACCTGATTCGAAAGGGAAATCAAAAGTTAATTCACAAGTGAACAATTTAAGAGCTGAGTTTATTCATCAGAGAATCTTCAAAAGATTTCTTTTTCTTTCGGGACAAATCAAACTGTATATTACCTGAATTCTATGAAGTCTCTTCCTTATGACCTTTCCTTAGCTATTTCTATGTGAGCTCACAAAAAGAATGCAAATCAAAGAAGATAATAACATTTGTGTTTCTAACAGTTCTTACCTGATCAACTTGATAGGTATTGACACGGTTTGCTCTTGAAATGTCATATGGGGAAATGAAAATAAAGCTATAACTTTAACTTAGGGAGTGCTATTCAATCTTATTTTGTGTGATTATACAAGCAGCATTCAGAATTTCTTACAGGGTTTAAATTAGAGAATATTAATATAAAGAACATTTCATTTGTTTCATATTATACCAAAGTAGTTCGGAAAGCATCTTTGGAGGCCTTCAGGGGACTGCTTGGAGCAGAAGAGCAATTCTTTGAATTGCTGTTTTCTGTTCAATGAATGCTCTTCTAGTAATGAAAACAATTTGTTTCTTGAGGTATCTACCGCACGCTCATACCCATAATAGTATGTTTTTGTTTAGTGAGCCAACCTTATTTCACAGATTCTCAATAGGTAAAGAAATGAGGTAAGGACATTTTATGAGCTTAAGAAATTGCTGTTAATTCAAGACAATTATCAAGGAAGCCAAGGCCAATATTTACATGACCTGGGGAACTAGGAGAGGGGGAGGAGGGGATAAAGAGTAACTCTACAGACAGTAATATCAGGTCCTTGAAAATGATTCCGTGGATTGGGGGGTTTGAAATTCCCTCAGGTGACCCCAGGAGCTGATCTGAATCCAATCTCATACTGTGTGGATTGTTGTCAAGGGACCACAAACATCTTCTTTCATCCCAACAAAAACACATCAGGAGGCATTATCCTCAGCAATCAGTACTTAGTAATAATTAAATGGTTAACAATCTATATATTTTCAATTAAATACAATATAGGGCACTAGAGACTTGAAAATCCTTTGGCAACACCATCCTGTGGAGTTTTTTTTTTTTTTCTAGTTGACTTTGTGACTCATTCTTTGGGGGATCTTTCTCTCTTTGTACTATTATCTTCAAATGGTTGTACAAAGAGGGTTCAAGGTCCCAGGTCTTTCCATGTGTTCAATACGTGTTGATGGGCATCAGCCCTCCCACCACCCTCCCCCATCTTCCTGTCCCCTGCCCCAGCTAGACCACACCCACTTCCTGGCTCCACATTCACAATGCACACACTGAGTACTGGAGCAATTTTTACCCACCATTCCTCTTCCCACCCATCCTCCCTCCCCTTATACCCTGCTTCCCCTACCCCTAGTTACAACATGTTCAAAAGAGTTTCACCAGGGAAGCTTACTCCTCCCCATAACATACTACTGTCCATTTGAATATACACGTGTTGTCCACGGCCATACCACCCTGAATGCGCCCGATCTCATCTGAATATACACGTGTCATATGCATATGTATGTGTCTTCATAAATGTTTATATTTTAGGTTTAACTTCCACAAAGGAGAGAAAACATACACCCTTTGCCTCCCTGAGCCTACCTTTACTCAATATAGATTTTCCTAGGGCCATATCACTTTCCTGAAAATGACATGCTATTCTTCCTAATGGATGACTAAATTCCATTATATATATGTAAAGATATTATTTTATGTATATTCATTGACATACAAATTATATACACATATAATTCATTGTGTGTATATATGCACACACTTAGAAATAAAGAAACAGGATTCATCGACTTATTTACATAGAAGTGGGTGATACACTTTTTGATTCCATATATTCAGATTTCTTTTTTTAAAAGCCCATTTAGAAAATTTAATTTAGTACTACGTTAACATATGTACTTCTTAAAAATAAATGTTGTGCTAAACTTCTAGTTTTCTCATGAACAGAACAACCTTTTGAAATGAATAGACTTACAGAGAAAGAAAGTAGATGATTGCTTTCCTAGGGCGTGCCTAGAGGCAGCAATTGAAGGAAGAAGCAATTAGAATCCTTGCTTAAATAGTCAAAATTTTTAGAAATGTCCAGGTACTGATGTAAGGCATATTTAGCCATTAAATGCATCTTCTAAGTATTTATGAATTGTTAAAAATAGACTGGAAATACAGATCTCTTCAGAAATAAAATCGCACGATTAATTACACGCTATGTGATTAGAACAGAAAAACCTATGTATTGATTGGATGTAACACTATTTCCTCTTTCTAGAACCCCTATGACTGGTTTCAACTATTTATGAATCTCACTAGAAATCCATACAGCGCACTGCGAGTGAAGCACATGAAATCTGACAGAAGATAATTACAGTCTGTGGTCACAGAAAGGTGTCCGTCAATGGCCGAATAGTGGAAAACATTCTCTCCTCTCTCTTCCCTCCACCCCTTCAGTGAGGTTATATGACAAATACCTCCTATGATGCAGAGAGCCGGGAGGCAGTGGCTCACACCTGAAATCCTACCTACTCAGGAGGCTGAGATCTGAGGATCGTGGTTCACAACCAGCCCAGGATGGAATGTCCATGAGACTTCTATCTCCAGTTAACCACCCAAAAAAAAAGGCAGAAATGGAGCCGTGGCTCAAGTGGCAGAGCACTAGCCTTGAGCACAAAAGCTCAAGGACAGCTCCCAGACTCTGAGTTCAAGTCCCAGGACCCACATCAAAATAATAATTAATAATAATAATGTCCTCAGACTAAAAGAATTTTATACACAATCCCTGAAGAATATATTCCTTATCATTATTCTTGTATTCGTTTTATATAAAACTGTTTTTGTATTAATGACAACTGTGTATACATTTCCATTCTCCAAAGACACACTATTAATTTAGAAGAGTCTAGAAGAACAGAATTTTGGAGCGAACATCCTTTTACCTTTTGTCTTGGTATATGACGGTCTACAAAAGAGAAAATGGGGTGAGGGAAGCTTATTTAAATTTGGGGTTTCATTAAGCTCTGGTCATTCCAGAATAAGGTTGAGACGAAGCTATGGAGTTGTGTTAGGTTCCCAGGGAGAGCCTTACAACTGTTCAGTGTCCTTTGCTTGAAGCAAATGATGGGATTATAACACACAAAGAGGAATATCTGATCATTAAAGATAAATCTGGTCAACCTAACATAGATTCCCTTCATTAACATGCATAGCTATCAATAAAGTTCAGAAATCCTTTAGAGAAGAGCAACAACCACCAATAGACCAGCTATAACCCAATGCAGGTTTTCAAACAACAAAAGTGGAGTCATTCTGCTCTGAGAAAAAAATACAACAAATGTCAGTATAATTAAGACCTTTCATTGACCAGACTCTAGTAAAAGTGTCACCGCTTTATCGACATGGATAAAGTCAAAAGGAACTTGACATTCAGATTATTATCCTTCTTTTGAAAAGATTTTTCAAGTACTCTGAATGGTAAAATAGTCTTTAGTATCTTTTGGTATTTGCATACGTATGTTAAAGTATATGTTTTCAATTAAACACACTGAATTTTTCCATGTCCAGATATTACATTTATATATTAATTAATTAAATTATTTGACTTGACCATAATCATTCAAAAATAAGAGCTAGTAAATTATTCATAATTGACTTCTTAGTTCATAGCTCCTTAGTTCATAGCTCCTTATTGCCTGTAGGACTTAGCTGCAGTCTTTATATGTGGTTGGAGATGAGTAGACACATCTCTTAAAGAATTTCATATGTGAACACATGTGAGACATAACATCATGGCAAAGGTGGACGTTAAAGGCTACTCTTCAATCACACACTAGCTCCTTATTTTCTCCATTATGAGTCTTGTGTTCTTGGAGAATGATTTTACAGCTTTCCCAAGCACAAAAACATTCTGCTTCTTGTCCCTGACCTTCTACCAGGGAAGAAAAACACATGGAAAAGTTGTTCTGGGGAATAGAAAATCAAAATAGAAGAGATGTTCCCGCCTGGCCATGTGGCCTCTCCCTGCCTCCTCTCACCGGCCTCTGGCTAGCTCTGCCGCCTCCTCCAGATCTCTGCTACCTGCTATCTCCCCTCCTCCACACCAATCCCCACAGGTCGCTGTCCTCACCTTCTAGAAGCATCCTCTCCACTTGGAGTCCAGATACTTAAACACTCCTGCCTTTGTCCTCAACAATTAGAAATTCTCCATCTTCTTTTCTTCTTCCTCATGATCACCTCATTCTATCACTGTGGGAATGTCCCAAGGCCCTGGTTTTGAATTTCTCCAGCCACAATAACTCCAGCTAGTTTATTACTTCTATACATATATGCATATATGTGATATAGGAATATATTTCAGAAGCCTGGAAATCTCAAAGTGGCATCTCCATATCTTTATTTGAGGATCTAATGGCGTCTCAGCCTGAACAGATCCAGAGAGTGAGCTCCAAAGCGCCCCACTGACATGCCTTCACCCCGGAGACAATCTTTGCCCACCCAACTCTGTCCCTTGACACCAAAACACCTTCCTGCCACTGTTGACTTTTCTTTCTTGAGATTTACACCAATACATTAGCAAATTGGATTGATCCTCCGTTTAGAATGACTTCCATATCACCACGAAGGCTCTGAGCCAAGCGACCCTAGTCTCGCTGCTGAGTTAATAACATGGTCTTATACCCAGGCTCCTAGCTTTGACTCTAGCCTGCTCAATCTCACTCAAACATCAGTTAGATCACACCACTCCGTCTCTGCATGGCTCCTCTGACTTGAAGATGCTTCCAAGTAATGCTGAGGCCTAGCTCATCTGTGTGCACACCATTTGCGTCTACATGAAATATCCGTGTGATGATGGGCCTGTGGCAGGACGGGAAAGACAGGAGACCCACACCAGAGATGGAGGTTGGGAGGAAGGCGGACGTGATAGCCAGCCAGTGTATACAATGTATACAGATAATTTTTATAGGCTAATATCAGCTTCGCTTTTCTACAAATCTGCTCCTATCTACAAAATTGTGAGATCTATGCTGTTCCTGCGTGCTGAGATCTTGGGATGATATTTTAAGGTACCTCTCCCTCCCACCCCTCCCTCCCTCTCTCTCTCTCCTCCCTCCCTCTCTCCCTCTCTCCCCCTCTCCCTCTCCCTCTCTCTCTCTTCCCCTCCCTCACTTGCTCTTCCTCCCTCTCTCCCCCCTCTCCCTCTCCCTCTCTCTCCCTCTCTCTCTCTCTTTTGGCAGTCTTGGGGAATGAACTCAGTGCCTGGACTCTGTCTCTAAGCTTTTTGGTTCAAGGCAAGCTTTCTACCACTTTGAGCCACAGCACCACTTCCGGTTTTCTGGTGGTTTATTGGAGATAAGAGTCTTCCAGAGTTTCTTGTCCAAGCTGGCTTTGAACCGTGATCCTCAGATCTCAGCCTCCTGAGTAGCTAGGATTACAAGCGTGAGCCACTGGTGCCCAGCTTAAGGTATGCTTTAAGGTAAACACATTTTTCTTCAATTTCTATTTTAGGTTCTGGAAATACTAAAAGCATATATAATTAATGCTCCTACCTCTCAGCTAAATGATTTCAGAGTGGTTAACAATCTATGGACAAGATATACTTGCTCATTTGAGCACTTATTGAGAACATATGTGTATGTGTGTATTCATGTCTGTGTGATACACATTGTATATATAAAGCACACATGTGTGTGCCTATGTGTATGTCTGTCTGTGTGCATTTTGTGTATAAACTATGATGGATGAATTTTAAAAATTCTGCTTTAGATGCTAATATACTGAATAAACATAACAGTAGGTCTCACTAGTTTAAAGTCAATTCTCTTGCACACAACTTGATTTAAAAAATTAATAAGAGACTAAGATGAAATATGTTTGATCTAACTGGCATTTGATCCTACCGATGGCCTAAGTTTACCACCTCCTCAGCCCCCCTCCCTGCCTGCCAGGCTTACCAGTTGAAGGTTCCCAGGAATTCATAACAAAGTGAGTACTAATTTAAGGGTCCTGGAATGCACTCATGGACCGGTCAGAAGGTACAACCCAACCATCTTTTCTCTCAGCATTCCAACAAGCTTTCCCACCACCACCCAATTTATCAAAGGCATTCATTGAATGACTGACTGAACTATGTATCCCGGTGCTTCTATGTTCTCCTGAGGGAAGCCTGGAGGGTTACCAGATGACAGACATAAGATGTGCACGCGAAGGTCTTTCCTCGGGTCACTTCCCAGCATGCTTTCATGCATCACTTACTATCTCCCCTGCACAGCAGAGGCCCCAGTTTATAAGCTGCTTCTGAATGTGGCCGCCCAGTGTCTGTAATCACAATCTTTGTTACCGGTAGATGTTCTTTATAAGAAAGGAATCCAGTGTCGTTCGTCCTAAAAATTAAAAAAGTAGCAACATTATTAAAATAACTCTGGTAATTTTATTTATTTATTGATTTACTTTTTGCCAGTCCTGGGGCTTGAACTCTGGGCCTGGGCTCTGCTATCTCTGAGCTTCTTTTGCTCAAGGCAAGTGATCTACCACTTGAGCCACAGCACTACTTCTGGCTTCTTTTTTGAGTGGTTTATTGGAGATAAGAGTCTCAGAGACTTTCCTTCACCAGGCTGTTTTCAAACCACAATCCTCAGATCTCAGCCTCATGAGTAGCTAGGATTATAGGCACAAGCTACCACCAGTGCCTGGCTTATTCTGGTAATTTTTAAATGAACAACAACTTCCACTGCATTTCAAAACCAAGATGTTTTTAGCTATATTTGCATACGAACAAGAAAACAATGACCCAATTGCTCATCTCAGAACACTGAAATCATGGTAAGTTAAAGATCTTCTTGTACATATTAAAATTCACAATAGTAAATGTAGCATATGTTAAAATTAGAATAAAGCAGGGGATTTGTTTTTAATTCAGAAGACTCTTTTCTACCTTTGCTGAAAAAAGTTAATTCACTAAAGTTTTGAACAATGACTGATCGTATGTTTATAGGTTTAGCATTTTGTTTTGTTTCTTGTTATTTTTCCCTGTACCACGTGTTTCCCTTTGAATTTTAATGTTTTCTTTATAAAGTGAAAATACATCTACTGTGTATGACAGTCTACTCATATTTTATGATGGAAAACAACATCAAAATGGGCTGGGCACAATGGTTCACACTTGTAATCCTAATTACTCAGGTGGCAGAAAACTGGAGGATCCTGGTTTGAGGCCAGCCTAGGCAAAAATTAGGGAGACCGCTTCCCCTCACCCCCATCTCAACCAATAAAAGCCAGCTGTGGTATTATGTGTTTCTCATCCCAGCTATATGAGAAGCATAAAGAGAACTGTAATGCAGGCTGGCCTAAAAATAAAATCAAGTCTGTATTTTAAACATAAAAACCTTAAAAGCTGAATATCCATAATTCAGACACATAACCTTAGCTACTCAGAAGACCAAGAGCTGGAGGACTGGGATTTAACACCAGCACCTTAACACTTAACACCTCGAAACTCTCAAAAGCACCATCAAAAAGCCAAGCTGGATGCATGGTTCAAGTGGTAGAGCACCTACATAACCAAGAGCAAGCCCTGAATTCAAACCCTACTACCACAAAGAAGTCTGAAAATTCTCCCATGAGTCAATTTATTTAACATTCCTCAACCACATACACACCAATACACTCCATGTTTGTTCTGTATGAAATTGTCCTAACATATTTAAATGCAAATGTTATACACTTTACAATTATTCCGTGGATTTTATTTGTGCAATTAAGAACTTAAACCCTGTGTTTTAGATTTACAAACATATTTACGATTTCTTGTTCTCTTTGATTCTTCCTGGAGATTTCAGTGTTCACCTGATATTATTTCTCTTTAGCCTGGAGAATTTCTATTAGACTTTTTCATTTCAGATATTGTGCTTTGCTGTTCTAAAATCTGCATTTTCTTCTTTAAAATAGTTCTCATTTATTTGCTTATGATTCTTTCTTGGCTTATGATTATTTTTGCCTTGAAGTCTTCAAAAATGTTTATAATAGTTGCTTCCAAGTTTTTGCCTGCTAATTTAACATGAGTACCCTGGGGTTTCTTTATAATAACTTCTTTTAACTTCTTGACTTTGGATCAAAGTTTATTCTTTTTTGGAACATTCAATGATTGCTAGAATACTTTGAATGTTTGGGATGATACACAGCGAACATCCTGGATTCTGTCATTGATCCGTGATTTCATTATTGTTTTCATAGGTAATTAAATGACAACCTTTTCACAATAAATTTAGGTGCTTGGTTTTATACTTAACTAGGTTGCCCTATGTCTATTTTTCTCTCCATTTTTGTTCTTTTTCTCTCATTTCTGGGACATGATATTTGCTGTAAAGAAAGATGAGGGTCTTCTGTCAGCCAGATGATAAGCAGAATGGACTGACATCTCAGAACTTTAACTCTCCATACCATCTCTTCTCTGGTAGTCATTAGAGAAATCTCAGTATAACTTGTTCAGTTTTCCTTTTAAAAATAACTCTCTGTGCAAGGGCTGTTGAAAATCTGGGGGTGGTAGCAGGAGTTTGTTCAGTGGAGCCCCAAGGAATTCCTCCATTTCCAGTCATTCTTCCCTCCCCCAACTCTGTGATTCCTGAAATCCCTCTGTCCCAAGAAGTTTGTGTTACCTTTGAGTTCTAGCATCCTGTGGCTTGGGTATGGTGCCTGCCATTCAAATGCTATACTAGTCTTGAGATCTGTACCTTACCACCATAAAAGGGAGAGGGGGGAAGGGGGTTGAGCTGGAATGTTAGGAAGTAATAGTGAGCTGGGTGCTGGTGGCTCATGCCTGTACTGCTAGCTACTCAGGAGGCTGAGATCTAAGGGTCACAGTTCAAAGCCAGCCCGGGCAGGAATGTCCGTGGACTCTTATCTTCAATGAACCACTAAAAAGCTGGGAGTGCAGGTGTGATTCAAGTGGCAGAGCACTAGCCTTGAAGAAAAGAGAAAAGGCCCTGGGACAGTAACCAGGCCCTGAATTTAAGCCTAGAACCTGCACAAAAAGTGATGGTTAGAAATTAGTGGGTTTTATATTTAAATTTTTTATATAAACAGATTATTGATGAGCTATCCTTTGTGATTGACTATAAATACATTTGAAAATAATGGAATGCTTATTCATACATAGGTTTCCAGAGACACTGTAAATAAACTGACTTCCATGTAATAGATGTCTCTATTTGTCATATTAGGAAAATGAAATAAATGTATGGCCTATTACAGACAAGGAACCTCCTCCCACCCCCCCCATGGCTTTGCTCTTAAATTGAGGATTTGATTGATTGAAGTATTTTTCATCAAAACACACCTTCATCTATCTTCTTCTTTGAGCTCACCCACCCAAGTACTTGCCTAGCTGTATACATACTACGATTACTCATTTAAGAGCCTAGATTTTCTCTTGAATAAAGAAAACATGAGAAGATCACCATTCATTCCGGTCTGCGTCGCAGTTACAATGGTAATGGGCATCAATACAAGTCCCTTCCAAGCCACAAGTACATTTTTGGAGCTCCGGCACGGAGCCTCCCCAGTAAGTCTGGGTTTCATTGGTCCTTCCAATCCACCAGCTCAGAGGACTTCCATCTGAAAGACAGGAATGAGAAGTGGGACCACCCCCTCCATCCCAGAATACTCCCCATTACTCCTAAGTCATTGAAAAGAGTAAAAGGAGAAAGCAAAAGGTTGCTGTGGCATAAAGGTATTCCAAGAAAAGCTTTAAAAATAAAATAAGTCAATATTTAGCCTTAAATTATATACATATATATATATATATATATATATATATATTTCTCTTGAGTAGAAACCAGTAGTTTCTATTTAACTTAGCAAACGAGTCAAAAAAAATGTATTAATTGTACCTCATATATGCAATCTCTTTGAAAGTCATTTTGAAAAAAGTTTGTATAAACTGTAGTCATTCCCTAAGAAAGCAAAATTGATTGGGAATATGAAACACCCATTAAAACAGTGTGGCATGTTATGTAAAAGCACCAAGTTATCTCACGATGGAAATTGGTTAAAGATCTGCTAGCTGATTTTTTTAACCTTAGCCATGGTGCTGCATTCTCTTGTCATGACTTAAGATTTATTTGGCAGTCGGGTTTCTTCCTTCCATTTACCAGCCTGGCTATTTATTTTGAAACTACAGAAATAATACTGAGAGATCTTTAAGCCTGAAGCAAATATAACACTAGGAAAAAAAAAGTTTCCCTTAGCCAAATGTATCTCTTTCTACAACAAATGTTCTGCTACCAGCTACTTCTCAGAGTTAAGACTAAACATGATGCCACAGAACTGGAACAAAGAACAGACAGAACATTTAGGCGAGATTTGTAGAAAGCAAGCTGAGACATGTAGGCAATCCATCTTAGAAAGAAGAAAAGCTCAGAGGACAAATCACAGCCATTCCAGAACGAGGGAGAGAGAAGAATGCAAGTGACATGGAATCGGTCAGGAACTCAGAGGTGCCAGATCATTTTTCTGGGGACTTTTAAACCCTGAAGTTATCTGAGAATCGCCACTAAGAAGCTTCCATGTTTGCTATTTATCCCTTGCATACAAATGTGCACGTTTATTTTAATTTAACAATTACATAATCCCTCTGACAACCTCTCTCACTACAAGAAGGAAGAGGGAGAGAGGGAAGAAGGGAGAAAGACAGAGAGAGAAAAAGAAGGGAGGGAAGGAGAGAGAAAAAGAAGGAAAGAAAGAAAGAAAAGAAAGAAAGAAAGAAGGAAGGAAGAAAAAAGAAGGAAAGAAAGGAAGGAAGGAAGGAAGGAAGGAAGGAAGGAAGGAAAGAAGGAAAGAAGGAAAGGAGGGAAGGAAAGGAAGGGAGGAAGGAATATCATTATCTTGCTCGTGTAATTGTAACCCCTCTGCACAGTATTTTCACAATAAAAAAAAGAAATTAAAAAAAGAAAAAAAGAAGCTTGTGTCACACATGACGTGATTAATATCAAGACTCTTTATCATTCTTCATACTTGCATGATTAACTCATTACTGAAAGGTTAAGCCTACTTGAAACATTTACCAGATATATTTAATCCACCACTTAAATGATTATGTGTTCATAGATGGAAGAGAAAATAAATTCTTCCTAAATACTAAATCTCTTTTTTAACCCCGAAACCTTTGATCTTCCTATAAAATAGACACCCCCTGAAAGTTTTCAAGGTACCAAATAAATGTCTCTAGTTGCATCCAAGACTTTTTTTTAAAGTAATAAATAATTGAAATAAATATAAGAATATATTTCAAAACTCATGAGAATTCAGAAATGAAAAGTTAATATGAAGGCATCCATGAACGCATACTGCACCCACCTACTGTAGTCCAAGTCCTTCATGAGCTATACATCCCAGGGTCCTTCACCAGGTACTGGGTCATAGCTACCCAGTCTCTGACAATGTCCTTTTCTACCACTTCTCATATTTGCCCTCAGCTAGGTCACTACCACCTGAACACTGCTCTTTCATGAAGATCCAGCCCTCTTCCCATTCTTCTTCCTCCTAGAGTTTCTTCCCAAGACCTCAGAGTCTGAATGAGACCCTCTCTCTCCATTCAATTTATCTGTCCTCACCCTGAGGGTCATTGACTTGAAAAAAATGAAATAAATCTGTCATTACCAATGATCCATTTGCTCCTACAGCCTTCTGCTGGAATGTACCGTTGTCTTTAGCAGTGGCTGGAAGGTCCCCGAGCAGCAGGGGCCTTGAAGAAGGCAATCCTTCAAGTTCTGTGCCATTTCCATCACCCCAAGGTGGCGGGGGGGGGGGGGGGGGGGGGGGGGGGGGGGGGGGGGCTGCGCTCACACACAATGTGGGCATTGTGGGGTTTTCTCTTTGTTCCTTTTTGGTCACGGTGGTCCTTTCTGCTTTATTTTTCACTTTATGTAAGTAAAGCTGATTTAAAATAAAAAGGCACACATCCAATGAGTTGGGTATGGTGTGATGTTTTGATGTGGGTGTGTCTGGAGAAACGGTGGCAATGCTATTCTGTCACATCTGTCACTTCCTGTAGGTGTGTGTGTACACGCATGTATGTGTATTCAGACCTTCTCTCCCAGCAAATTTCCTGCCTAGTGACTAACTACAGTCACCGCTGTACATTCCAGTCACAGAACGTACTCCTTTAGTAATGGCATGTTTAGACTCCACACTCCCCATGCCCCAACCCCCAGGAGTAAGCCTGTTTTCGGGGGTGTACATTAAATTATACATAGGATGAGGTGGGTGTAGAGGAATAAAAAGAGATATTTGCCAAGGGCTATGGCTCATGCCTGTAATCCCACCTCCTCAGGAGGCTGAGATCTGAGGGTCACGGTTCAAAGCCAGCCCAGGTAGAAAAGTGTGTGAGACTCTTTATTGCCAATTAAACAGCAAAGTGCCAGAAGTGGAGGGGTCATAGCTCAAGTAGAGCACCAGCCTCGATTAAACAGCTTAGCCTCAGACCTCAGGCCCTGAGTTCATTGTGTACCAGCACACAACAATAATTATTATTATTATTATTATTATTAAGAATATTTAGTAATATTAAATTCTAAATACTATAAAGTGTATATTTACGTATTTGTTTCTACATATATATGCACATATATACATATATACATGTAGTTCCACGTAACATAGGAATGTTTTTATATATAAATATATTAATAACACATATATTGCCTAGATATTAAAGTATACATCTCCCAGTACTAATATTATTGAATGATCATTACTATTATTTACAATGGAATCCCCATGGAGAATTTGGACTGGATCTTGCTGGGTCCTGACTGGACGGTTTGCAATGACTTGTTCTAATTTTCAGCGTTCCCCAGAGGTGAACCGGCAACCGCGACTCACAGCCTGGTCCCTTCCTCCAACCGCGGGCGCTGCCTCAGTTTCCCTACCTTGCTGATCGACCAGCCGTGACTTCTTGCAGTAGTAGGCAAGCTCCTGCTGGCAGTGCTCGGCCTGGCGGATGGTGGCCTGCAGCTGCTCCGCGCTGGCCGGGTACCGGAAGACCCCGGCGTGCGGCTGCTCGGGGTGGGCGCTGCGGACCCGGGTCAGGTCCGAGCCGTTGTGCTGTACGATGCTCCACGTCGTTTCTTGTATGCGGAAATGGGGGGAGAAAGAGAGGAGACCATCACTAGTCTGCAAAAGTTAAAATAAATAAAAGAAAATCAAGATCACCTCTTCTCTGAGTCCAAGTGCTCCTAACTTCAGCTGACCTCTCTGCGGGGTCATTTCCACCCCAATGGGTGCTCACACACAGAGTCCAGGGACTCCTCCTCAAAAATGGAGAGACTGCCACCATGCATTTGCAGTGGTTTTGTTTGATCCTTCTATGATCAAGAACAAAATAGAAAAATCTCATTAATGTGTGTGTGTGTGTGTGTGTGTGTGTGTGTGTGTTGCACGCAGGGCTTGAACTCGGGGCCCGGGCACCATCCCTGAATCTTTTGTGTGTGTTTGTGTGTGTGTGTGTTTTAAACTCAAGTCACTCAAGCCATAGCTCTGTGTCTGGCTTTTCAGTAGTGAGTTGAAGAGTCTCAGACACTTCCGGCTGGGTGGGCTTTGAACTGCGATCCTCAGATCTCAGCCTCCTGAGGAGCTAGGATCACAGGCGTGAGCCACCGGCACCTGGTTCATTGGTCACTTTTTTGTGCTCTATTTTATCAAGTCTGTTATTCTATCTTTGTTTTTAAGATGCATCTTGATTTCACTTTCCTTCAAGAAATTATTATCATTGCAAAAATGTATTTGTTACAACTGACATGCCCAGGAGTCAATGATATCACAACGTTTTTGAAAAATGGCCTGGTGTACTTAGTGAAATATTTTCTATTACATAATAGAAGAGAGGGGCTTAAAAACGAAAAATTTTGCAAAGTCTTCCTAGTCCCAGCAGAAAGGCAGTTAAGCTCCTTTTGATCTCTCTTTACTGAACATTGACTTGTGAGGATATTTCTAGCTGTTTTCAAATCTAACTTGCAAACATTCATTCTGGTACTCTGAGATCTGGTGAGTTTGGCAAGGAAAAAGGAAGTTAACTCTTATGCCCCTGGTGTCAGCAGCTCAACTGGCACACACTACAATAAGATATCTTTGAGTAGCTACAAGAAGCTGCCATTACTACTACCTGAATGTTCGTTCATACACATCCCATCAGATGCATCCAGAAACTTACTTAGAGGAAACAGAAATCCCACAATGTCCATCAGGACAAGAGCTGTGTTGTGTGTCCTTCAAATTTTCCTCTGCATACTTTATTTACTCGAACAAGAGATAGCTCAAATGGCTTACAATTTAATAGGTAAGGAACTGTTTGCATTGTTTAATTATGGGGTGAAATGGTATGATGTATAACACACCTACAGGTAAATAGAAACAGCATGCACAGACACTTTACTATGGGATTCTACTGGAAGTTTTATGGCAGAATGTGAAATTGCACCTAAAATCATGTTATTAGTGACTTAAACAGCAATGATTATATTGTACTTGGAATTTAGTCATTATTTTCTGCTTAAATATCTAATGTTGTTAGTTTTCCCCTCTCATTCTCCCTCTCTCTCTCTCCTCCATCTCTCCCTCCCTCCCTCTCTCTCCCACTTTCTCTGTTTTAGCCAATCCTGGGTCTTGAACTCAGGGCCTGGGTGCTGTCCCTGAGCTGCTTTAGCTCAAGGCTAGTGCTCTGCCACTTTGAGCCACAGTGCCACTCTTGACTTTTTCAGGGTAGTTTATTGGAAGTAAGAGTCTCACAGACTTTCTTGCCCTGGGCTGGCTTTGACCCACAATCCTCAGATCTCAGCCTCCTGTGTAGGTAAGATGACAGGCATGAGCCACCAGCACCAGGCTTAGTTTTCTCTTTTTGCTGTTTGAAATCTTTGCAACTGATAGGGAGTATGGTTAGACTCTGGGACTGTCAATATGTGATTTGAGTTTTTATTTTATAAAATGATCTAACGTACAAGATGCTATGTTGAAAAACGAATTTTACAATTTAGGCAGGAGTAGGGGTGGGGGCAGAGGGGAGTGTAGTTGAGGAGGTGGGAGGGAAGGGATGGTAGGGGAAAAACAAAGGAGGAGGCAACAATGCTTGATAGGAAATGTACTCATTACCTTGCTCATATAACTGTAACCCCTCTGTAGAGTATTTTCACAATAAAAAACTTATGTTAAAAAATAAAATAAAATGATCTAACATGATATACCTATTTTTTAATGAGTGATATTTAGATAATTCTGACGACAGTATATTTTACAACCTCTTGTAATGTTTTAAATTGGACAAAAAAAGAAACAAAATTACCATTTATCCAACCCTCCTACTTATGTTAAGGGAGAGGATTCTTCTGCCTCATAGGGGAATTGGCCAAATTGGAGGAAAACAGCACTTCCCTCCTGTATCCCTACCTCCTTTTGGCTAATACATTTATAGGAATCAACTATTAAAAAAATAGATAAGAGATGGACTTTGGGGATTTTTTGCCTCTGCTCAGACAGAGGTTGGCTAAATAAGATGGAAAACAAAGATATCTGTCTTGTGGCCTTCTACTATCTTTCTGTGAACCAACAGTTGATATTTTTATTTGCCCCTTTGTATTTCAGCTCACCTGGGAGATTGAGCCGTAGGATTCTCTTTTCAAAGAGGCCATGATGTATAAGCTGATGAAATTAATTGTGGGCAGCCATCATCAGTACAGGGTCGGGGCCTTCAGGAACCATGACTGCAGATTTGTGTCCTTAGGAAAACTGAGCAAATCTCAGCATTCATTTCCAAATTTGGAATAAATACACTGGCAGAACAAGGCACCAGAGTAGGATGGAAACTCTTATTATTTTAGCCAACTCTACCAACCAACTAGGTTGTTTGGAAGTTTCAGGTTCTTATTAACCAGGCAAATCTGGCTAATCATTTAGCCTAGGCCCTGCTGGTTTCTGCTTGTGTGTGTATGTTCGGGGAACAAAGCAGTGGCTTGTATGAAGAAGCTCAGCTCTGGCTGAGCAGCAGCTGCCAAAAGAACAGGACAATGAGCCTGCTTGAGGCCATTATCGCTGTTCCTTTTGGGTCACTCTGAGAGGAACTGCTGTACAGGTCCCAGCATCTGCTGGGTCACAATTAACAAATGATTCTCAAGGTTTCCTAGGAGCCAAGACCAGGGTGTGTGGCCATCACTGAAAGCACCAGTTCATTAAAAAGGTTTCCTTTGAAATTATGAAGTCTTTCAATATTCTGATCATTTCTGCAGGTAATTTTTTTTGGGGGGGGGTCCAGTCGTGGGGCCTGAACTGTGGGCCTGGGCCCTGTCCCTCAGCTCTTCAGCTCAAGGCTAGCACTCTACCACTTGAGCCACAGCACCACTTCCGGCTTTGTTCTTTTTGCTTATGTGGTGCTGAGGAATCGAACCCAGGGCCTCATGCATGCAAAGCAAGCGCTCTACCACTGAGCCACCTTCCCAGCCCCTGCAGGTAATTTTATAAAGTTTAAACTGAGGCCACTCTTTGTTTTGTCTCTATTATCTTTCAGTAGTTGCACAACAGGGTTTCAAGTCAACATGACAGCGTATGAGCGTCACACATCTTGACTGATGACACCCTTTCCATCCTTCTCCCCCGTCTCTCCCAATCTCATCCATCCCCTAAGTCCTAAGTCCATTTTCACACGGGGGATGTTGGAGATTCTGACCGCATTCACCCACCCTTCCTCTCTGCATTTGTCCACACCCCTCCGTCCACACCCGCCCCTTGATCAAAGCCTCCCATCATTCCCTCGTTAGTTGTTCCAAAGAGTTACCCCGTTGCAATGTTCCCCTGCAAATCCCATACTACATTCAGTATGTTTGCACATTAGTGCATACAACCCTATAAATGTTTGCAAATATATCTGTAAAGTAGAGCCAACTTTCACATATGATCAAACTCTCTAGATTTCCAGGGCAAAGCAACTGCAGTGAAATTTCTGCAATGGATTTGGTCCCCGGAAGCCAGCTCTGCATCTTCTGCATGAAAAGGTGGAGGATGGGGGCAGGGGAAGGGAAAGAGAAATCACTGAAAATTCTCAGCCTAGAGCCTCTTTCCTGTTTTTCAGACATGGTCATATTAGCTGAGGTTGATGCAAACACCTGCTTGGCAATCATGATGATCAAAGTCAAAGACTTCACGGAGATTTGTAATGCGATGTTTTCCCATTGACTCCACTCATCTTTCTCACTGGGAGATCGGTGATCATTTCTGACAGGCAAACTGGGGGTGCTGCCAGCAATGTTCTGAGCACCACATGCAGAAGAAGATGTGTGTTGGAGCAATGAGGGAACAGGAAAAGGGATCAATGAGTGATGAACAAGTAGATAAGAGCAGAGCCTTTCCGGTTTCCTGAAGCTGTTGTAGGTAGCTTTGTGCCTCACCGCCTTGGAACTGTTTTATAATTCTGCAAACTAGAGATAACAGATTGGGTGGCAAAATGATGTGAAGCCTACAATGCTGAATTGTCTAGGATGTTATCCTCCTTGGAAGATCACGAGCTAGACAGCTACATAGAGTTAGCTGCCCGCATCTATGTATCTTCTCCTACCATCTAACTCCCTAACCACACAGCAGGCTCTGTATTAGGGGACATTTACTTGCAGGAATTTCACACCCCAGCTTTTGCATCCATGCATCAGGGCTAATACACCAAGTACCGGATATTCTTGTGCATGATGGTGTTGTACCACAAAACAGAAACCCCAGTTTGTGAGGCACAGAGTAACTACAGGGTGACCAGCACCCCTACTCTGTCCATAAAGTCGGAGCCAGCCTTGGGCTGGGCAATGTAACTAATCTCCTCTAAGGAGGAGAAAAGGCACAGATCCTTAGGTTTTTCTTTTCTCTCAGACGGTAGGCACTCCACTACAAAGATGTAGCTATAGCCCTCCATCCTTTCATCCAAGTTGTTACAGATTTGGAGGGTTTTGTTACTTGGTTTGGTTAGTTTGGTTTGTGTGTTGCTTTGGATGAAAAATGTGGTTATTGACAATGCCTGTGTCTGCACAAGCAACCCCTAGCTGGCAGACATTCTAGTGGCTTGTCCACTCCATGGGGAAGAGGGCAAAGGTCATTTCAG